AGGAGATAGTTGAATAAAACCAGAATTGGTTAATTAATTTTATCAATTCTCGGATGCTGCGGTTATCGTAACATACCTAGATCCGGAATGCGTCACCTATGTTAGGCTCAGACAGATCTGCTTAGACACACACATACATACCTACTTCGTCCATTTATACTGGCGATTAAGACTTCAACACAGCCCTAGGTTAGCACAAAAACATACATACTTCCTTCACCGATTTAAACTGGCGACTACTACGTCTGAATACATATATTCTTTCCCGTATAAACCAAGATATTTACACTGGGACTCTTGAAGCTCCAACTAATTTAGACGTAAGAGGAACAGGTCCTTTTCAGGGCGGTACAAGGGACTGACCATTCTTCCAGCATATCTAGAGAGAGAGAGCGTATAAGGCTCTGAATATTTTATAGTGTACTTTTTACGACCATGCGATATATATATATATATATATATATATATATATATATATATATATATATATATATATATACTGATAACTGAACTTAAAAATTACGGTAAGCACTAAATTAAAAAAAGTTAACTTCCTTGATATAACATTAGATTTAATGAAAAATGTATACATACCTTATAAAAACCCAATACCAATCCTTTATACACCCTAAATCAAATCATCCTCCATCTATAATTAAGCATATACCTTTATCTATCGAAAAAAGAATAAGTATAAATTCAGCAAATGAGAAGATTTTCTATGAACATATTAATTTCTATAATAAAGCTCGAAAAGATAGTGGCTACAAAAGCCCAAAACTAACTTATATAAAGAAGGAAAATGGAAAGCATAGAAAAAACAGAAGTAGAAAAATAATTTGTTATACACCCCCATACAACCAAGTCATGAGTTCAAAAAGAGGTTCAATCAACATCAAACTTCATTCCGGATAAATAAATACAGAAATCAGACATCCCTTACAAAATATTTCTGGCACTTAAAAGAATCAAATAAAACACCTACAGTAAAATGGAAATTAATAAGAAAAGCTAGAATATGTAAGTCATTAAATGACCCATATCCTTTGTGCATACATGAGAAACTATATATTACTAAGTTTATAAAAATAAAAATTTACTGAATCAAAGAAATGAAATAGCTATTCTTTGCCGGCATTGTCAAAAATTTTCCTTAAATAATATTTAAAAAAAAAAAATGGGAGCTGGTAATATACATACTTATAATTTATATGAAAAAATAATTTTAAATAATTTAAGTAACTCTATTACATTTATTTGATTTAAAAAGAAATATAGTATATTAGTAATTAAGAGTAAAAAATATTTTAAAATTGTAGTTAAATATAACGTATTCTAACCCAAACACCCCTTTAAGAAAGAATCTTTAAGCATACAAGTACGAAAAAAAATGCCGGAAAACATTTTGTCGTTAATAATAAAAAAAACCCAGTCGGCATGCATTTAACGGATGTCAGAATTCGTTGAAAAATACACCCCTCCCCTCCCTAAACCTAACCTCTTTTTCGAACGTAACTCATAATTGATACAACAATAGTTAATAAAAATGAACACGCTACCTCTCCTGTCTGAATGAATGGATTTCTCTGTATTCTTGGAAACAGGAAATTATGAATTTATATGTGCGTTTAAAACTCAGTAAATTTAAAAAATAAGTTATTCCAAAATTCGCTTGAAGATGAAACAGAACTAATGCCTTTAATTTAATTATATAATTAAATTTGAAGTTTTCAGCTTCAGTTTTTGAAACATGGTTATTACTCTGTAGCGAAGAAACTATATTTTAATTCAATTAATTTATAATATTTATGCTTTAAATTTACATTCTATATATATATATATATATATATATATATATATATATATATATATATATATATATATATATATAAATTCCCAAGAGGATAGAATCCAGGTAGAACTCAATGTCCAGGACAGAGTAAGAATATAATATAAAAGCCTCAAACGCAAATATTCCATGGTTATAATTTATTACATTGGAATCGTAATCACGATCCAATTCATCAGATAAAAATTCGAATTTCTGAATTTGTAGGTCTGATGAATTGGATCGTGATTACATTTCCAATGTAATAAATTATAACCATGGAATATTAGTGGTTGAGCTATATATATATATATATTGTTGAAACTTGACTAATGCATGGAATAATAATACAACACAAAATGTACTTAGAAAAAAATGTATTGAAACAAGAAAGGTACACAATATTTATATATAGTCTTTTGTATATTCTTGGGAAGACCGTTCCTGGAGAATGTGTTGACTTAGTCGCAGTCGGGCAGAGTCTCTGGGTTGAATCTCTTGATTCCTTCCTCCGTCTTCCCAACCATATTTATATGGTCGGTACTCCACTATGCAAATTAGGTGGATCCTACTACAACATATATATATATTGTACATATACCATATATGGGCGCGTGGCCGAGTGGTTAAAACGTTCGCTCTCTGACCATCCTTCCTGGTGTTCCCAGCGTGAAAACCATACCACGGGTTGACCCAAACCCTCCTGAGAGAAATTGGGGGCCATTGAAGCTACAAGGGCTTGAGCTTTATTCAAATTGTTGATCACGCTTGATAACACGCTCTCCCTCAGAAACTGTAATCAAAGTCTGCTCATCATAGTTGCAGTATAAACAACAGGTGGGCTCTGGGTGTTGAGCAAACGGATGTTGAGCGAGCGTCTGCAATAGGTTCTGGCTAACCGTCCTATTAGACGGGTATCCTCGTATACGAGTGGCCAGCTATTTATATATATATATATATATATACATTAAGACATTTTTATGTTTATACATTCTTTTTGTAGATACAAATATTTAAGTTAATGCTTTGTTTTATATTAAACAGTATTAAACAACGTTTACCGGCCTGAATGTCCGAGAAGTTTTCATAGAAAATATTCGTCTTATATGGAACCGTCATACAGCCTGACGTGCCTTTAACCGATTTGGCCACAGAGGAGCGTTCGGTTAGCCAGGTCGAATTTACTTCCTTTAAACTTCAATCTTCCATGAATCTCTCACGTACATTCATATCTGCTCAAAGCGTATCCAAATGTAAAAAAAATGACGTCACACATTATGAAATGGACAAAGTCCGACAATTATTTTAAGACATTTTTATGTTTATACATTCTTTTTATAGATACAAATATTTGAGTAAATGTTCTGTTTTATAATAAACAGTATGTAACAACATTTACCGGCCTGAATGTCCGAGAAATTTTCATAGAAAATATTCGTCCTCCGAAAATTTCTCGGACATTCAGGCCGGTAAATGTTGTTTAATACTGTTTATTATAAAACAGATCATTTACTTAGATATTTGTATCTATAAAAAGAATGTATAAACATAAAAATGTCTTAAAATAATTGTCGGACTTCGTCCATTTCATAATATATATATATATATTTTTTAACATACAACGTGTGTTAGCACGTGCAATACCCTGTCTTCATCAGCCGCCGACCAGGGGTGATATCACGGTTTCGGTGGCTATGGCTGGACCGCCACCTCTGGCGCCACCAGCAGCGTTTGCCACCAGGCAGGGTATGAAGATAAGCTAAATAATCGTTCCTTCAAGTAAATTCTATCTGCAATGAAAATTTCTTGAAAGCGTTTGCTGTTATTGACGCGCTTGTAAAAGTCGTTATAGACAACCACGCAAATATCTCACTTGCGCATGTTAGGTCGTGATGTTGTGCGCATTCTATTTGCTTGTTTTGATCTCGACCAAATCCAACTTGACGCGTGTTGAACAGTTTTTTGAAGGCGATGCGAAACGCTTTTCAACCAACGGCCAGTGATGCCTATTTTTGAAAGGAAGGAAATGACCGAATGTCCCAGGAACCCACGACACCCAATCTCAATAGGCATCACGTGACACGTCCAACCATTTTCCATACACTCGGCACGCGGTTTTTCTTTAGTTCGTGCGCCTCCACCCTGTTCTCTTCCCAAGGGACTGTTAGTTCTATCAGGAAGACAGTCTTTTTAGAGTCGGACCACAACACAATGTCGGGACGCTTGTCTGTCTGTGCGATGTGTATTGGAAATTTTAAGGATATCATTAGATCCACTAAAACCTTCCAATCACTGGCACCACTCAGCAGCTTTATATTGGGGGATGTTTGTTTTTTCTTTGCAGGGCATTCCCCTTCCTTATGGAATTCAATCTTAGTTTCCTTGGATGCCACAAGCTGTTGATTTGCTGCCTCACATTGTGTTCTTATTAGATCCCTTATCACCTCTAATACCTTGTTGTGACACCACGTGTACATATGGAGCGAATGTGGACAAGCAGAAAGCACATGACGCAAGGTACCTCGGTCTTTTCGACACGAAAAACAGAGATCTCTATCTGTGTATCCCCACATTTTCAGGTTTGTTTCATAACTCTCAACTCTCCATGCATTTTCTTTCAATCATTACACAAAGCCATATAGATCTATGTATGAAAGGAAGTTGTTACAAGATGACCTCCAACATCAACTATAGTCTCAACTATTTATTACCATGAAATATATATGCACCTGCAACGTTCAGAAAATAAATTACTTTTACTGTACGTCAGTTGTTTATCAACAAGTGAAACACATTATCATAACAATACCTTTTAACTATAGTTGAACACTTTTTTACGCTCAAGACAAAGATAGCTCGATAAGCTCCATATATTCTTTAAAAGAATAACCTTTCACTTACACACGGCTAGTCCTTCAACGATGATAGAAGTGGCTTTACAATGCAATGAAAATTCAAAACACGAAGCCACAAATATCTGATTAAATTAATCTTCGTGTTTCCAGCATATATGCATATTATTTGCAGATTATTTCGCATGGTTCAATTTGTCGTAAACAGGACACTATAAAATATTCAGAGCATTATACAATCCATCGCTAGAGATGCTGGAAAAATGGTTAGTTCCTTGTACTGCTCAGGAAAAGGACCTGGCACCTCCTACCATGCTGGCTTACGGCCATATTACGTTGTAAAATCGGTTCTCGTCAGGTCACCGAAGTTAAGCAACGACGAGCCTAGTCAGTACCTAGATGTGTGACTGCTTGGAACTATCAGGTGCTGTAAGCTTGGATTAATTTTACAATCCAACAATATGTTTCGGTTTTAAATAACCTACAAAAGGTTGATAAACCGTAATAAAAAGCAAATTATTTCATCAATTAACCCTGACATGCTCTATCTTTACAAGTCAAATCAAACCAGAAACAAAGTATTTTTGTCATATCTGGTCTGGAGCTGACCACTTTCCATCCTTGGCGGAGTTCAAAAGGTTTTTTTTTTTTTTTTTTTTTTTAAGCGTTTCACCCCAAGCAAGGCGGGAAGCCACTAGGACGCAAGGGGTTACAGAAAATTTGGAGCAAGATCAGATAGGAGTGATAGAAGAAAGGATGAGGAGAAGGATAGTGGATAGATCAAGGCAACTGGAGATGTCGATTGACATTATGCACGGCTTTGTGGGTGATGAATTATTTTCCACCCTACAATCCGTTTCTCACGGGCGAAACACCGTAAGCCCATCCCTGTAACGAGATTTCCATGGCAAATGTTCATACGAACTACATTGACCTTTATAGTTTGAACTTGCCATGTCATACCCGTCGAATCATCTCATTTTTTCGTATTATATTGGTAACAATGAACTTCTACTCAGACATCGAGAACCGCTACTTTGTGGAACAGACCCCCCGGGGGAATGCTCCCCAGATTACCACAATCGTAACTTCGTCAAATCATGGATCAACCGCTACCTATCCTACCTATCCTCATAATATGCACTTCTTTCTTTCACGTCCCTACAACAAACTCATTCAGTAATCTCTACCTTGAGTGGCTCTTGGGTCTTGTATTTTTAAAGAAATCCCCAAATTTTCATCGATGAAACCAAGCCAAAAAATTATACCAAGGAAGTTCAGGACAGTGTAAAGATTTTTAGTACGAAAAACAATCGACAAACCGAGTTAGAATTCTAGCAGAGGTAATTTATGCTAACTTCGCATAATACCCTTGGGAAGAGCAAGACTCCATTTCTCCCTGTATCTTACTGATTTGACGTGAAGTACTAGTTATCGTTAAGGAGAAAGGAATCGAGCGAATCGAGTTCGAATTTCATCCGAACTTTATTACTCTACTTTGTTGCGTAAAATAAATGCTTTCTTCATAATTAGGTTACAGAATTATTAATGTTCCTACGTATGAGATTAATATTCACCAGCGAATTAAGTGCATTAACAAAGGAAGGAGATTATGTTGAAAAACAAATATGTGTCTATATTTCTGAGAAGAGGTATTGTAATTATTTACATTATTTACATTGTGCGGGCTGTTGTCCTCATCTTTGTTGACATATTCACCACATCGTACGCTTCAGCCTTCATCAGGAGCTGTTTATATTTCAGAGATGAGGTATTGTAATTATTTATATTATTTACATTGTTCGGACAGTTTTCCTCATCTTTATTGTCATATTCACGACGTTTCGGACGTTATACTCTCCGGCCTTCTTCATGATATGTCTATATTTCTAAGATGAGGTATTGTGATTATTTACATTATTTATATCGTTCGGACTGTTGTTTATCCCGGTGGACGAAATAAAGGGTTCAGTTCGAAATTCCAATCACCTGAAGAAGGCTGGAGCGTACAATGGCCGAAACGTCGTTAATATAGCAATAAATATGAAGACAATAGCCCGGACAATGTAGATAATGTAAATAAACAAATATTTGTTGAAAATAAACGCTTTCTACATAATTAAGCTTCAAAGTTATTGATACACACGCGTATAAAATGAATATTCACAACTGAAAGTGAATTAAGTGCATTGACAGGGAAGGAGATTATGCTGAACAGTAAATATTTGTTGTTGAAAATAAATGCTTTTTCTATCACCTACAGTTGTAACTACGTATAGGCGATGGGGTGCTGATAGATTTATCGGGCAAACCCATTTCCTGATACCTGACCAAATGACTAAACATCAGAATGTTGTGGGGGCGGGGCCTACATGGTCGATTCGAGAACTTTTCAGCATCCCCTCGCATTTATGAGTCTATTGCCTCATGCCGACTTTATGTGTAGATATTGTCAAACACTAACCTAATAAAGGTCTTTAACTTTTAATATTTTTATTCAATATTGTTTGGATGTTAACCTACTGGGTTTTTGATGGGTGAATAATTATACAACAAAACTCTCTCTTTTATAGTGATTTAATAAGAGTAACTTAGATGTGGTACAAGGTCGCAAATATAGAGCACCAGGTGTAGATCGAACTTACTACTCAGTCGTAATTGAACATTTTTTTTATGAAATTGGCCATCTCAAATTTATCAAGACTAGAAAATTGTCCGTTAAAATAATTTATCCTTAACTGTATGCTATTAAATATTTACTATTCAGGTGAGCAATGGGATTTTTTTCCCATGTGTAAGTGGGCGATGACGCAGAAAGGGTTGGGTGTCCCTGATGTAGCTGATTTCATTTAGTTTTTTTCTTTGTTGTTGTTTATGTTTTACCCCTTTAGTTTTAAATATCCTACATTGTAATCATACAAGAAAGGTGACATATTGTCAATTTTTGTTAGAAAAAACAGATACTGTAAGCTGAAATTCACATTTCAGATAGTTTCAAATAGAACAGGGAGAAAAAGAGTGTAATGACAAAAGTACGCAGGTACTATATACCCATAGTTAGTGTTCTACGCATGGTAGAACACTAACCATGGGTATATAGTACCCAGCGCAAAATTTCCTATTTTTTATTACAATTTTCAGTACCTGATTTTCTTACCTAAATAATGTTTTTCAGTTCCTATTAATGTTAACTCAAAGTACAAAGTTTGAAGTGCCTGCATGTAAAATATTTCAAATAAAGATTTAAATTTAATATTTTTTTTTTATATTTACAAAATCGGGTATGATATACGCATGGTTAGTAGTGGTATAACTTTAATTGATGGTTAGTGTTCTAGGGTTAATAAAACCTTATTCAACTGAGAATACAACATTCGCGTATAGTGTCATTTTATAGTCCCAGTAAACAGAAATAGCTCTCTGAAAGAGAAAAGTAACAAAACAAGGGGAGACCACTCTTGATTATTCATAACAAAGAAGTCATTGGAATTTTTAAAATATTTTTTTAGAATTTTCAGTAATAAAATATTTTATCCTATAATGTTCACAGCTGCGTTAAAGAATGAGAGGAAATTTCCTGAATAAACGAAGTGATTAGAATAAACTACACCCAATTTTTTTCCCCCAAAAAGCATCATCGTCTCGGCCTGTCCAATTGAAAAGCAATAACCTGGTAATGTTAAAAACATCGTTTTTTAATACCAATTTTATTGTAAAAACATTGTCTTTCATAATAAAATCTGATTTTTCATTCTTTATCTCACCCAGTATACCCACAGAGCATATCGAACCCACGAGGCATATCGAACCTACAGCGCGCATCGAAGGCAAAAGGGACAAAGAAAGCGGCACATCTACCTAACAAGCAAGTGTGAATGGTAACATTAGCCTTTTCCCTATAAGGAAACATTTGGCATTGATTGACTAAGCAACCAGCACCGCTTTCGGTTGGAATTTATAAAATCTTTCTATTGAAACACTTTTTAAGGAAAACAAGTTTCTCCAGTCCAGTAGCTGTTATCGCTCTTTCCAGTATTGATAGGAGTTTCCTTCCTAACTTTTTATTTGAAGTAGTGTGGAATGTCAACATCTTGATTATTTCATTATTTTCTCTTCTCAAGCCCAGTAGCTGTTATTGCTCTTTCTAGTATTGATGGCGTTTTCCTTCCTAACCGTTTATTCGAAGCAGTGCGGAATGTCAGCATCTTGATTATGCCATCATTTTCTCTTCGAATTACATGTGCTATTCATTTTAGTTGTTGGTGCTGTTGTTGGTAGTCCTCAACTGGTATGGTTTCTGTTACTTGTTACAGTTCTTTATTTGTGATTCTGTAACGCCAGTCCACAATGTTTAAAGGTAGAAAGGTCTTTGTCAAGATCTACAGGTTTAACGCGTTCAAAACCATTTTTAACCATTGATTTTAGAAAGCGGTTATATTTATATAATGAATAGCGGAAAAAAGTGGAACAGATGACAAATATATATATATATATATATATATATATATATATATATATATATATATATATATTATATATCTATTCAAAGAATGCGGGGTGTCATTATTATTGCCCACGTCTTGAGGGTACATAGAAGATAGGGGTGTGTGTGTGTGTGTGTGTATGAATGTTTGGATTGTAAAATAATTTAGAGAATGCCTTATGTCTGCTTGTTGAAACCAACATCCATATCTGCCTATCCCACTTTTTTGTTGGACAGAATGTACGTAGAGCTCAGATTTACTACCTACATTTTTTTACCTATGATGGCGCTTAATGACATACCTATATATAAATTCCTTACATTCCTCTGACCTTCATCATTGGCTTCATTCTTTCGACATTCTTACAACCATTGAAATCAAATGCTAACTAATGTCTAATTGGAACAATAAACACTACTTTTTCTTTGTTTTCTCTATACGAATCTATTTATGAAACTTAGCTTAGTTTGGTACAGGGCCACCAGTATGGGGTGCACAATGAGAATCGACATCAAACAGTAGTAATAATCAACCAAACTAGCTCGCTATATGTTACTAACCAGGAAGCCTCTCCACTTACTAAGAGTTGTAACAATCAATCAAACTAGCTCGATAAACATTACTAACCCGGAAGCCTCTCCATTTACTAAGGTAGAGTTCGGCACAAAGCCACAAATATGGAGTACCCAGTGAGGATCGAATTCGTCACGCACTTGTAATAATCAATCAAACTAGCTCGTTAAACATTACTAACTCAGAAGCCTCCCTATTAAGCTTAGTTCGAGACAAAGCCATAAATATGGAGGACCCAGTGAGGATCGAACTCACCACGAGGTTGTAATAAACAAACTCGCTAAACATTACCAACCCGGAAGCCTCTCCATTTATTAAGCTTAGCTCGGCACAAGGCCACAAGTATGAAGTACCAAGTGGGGATCGAACTTACCACT